GCTGTGAGGAGCAGCAGAATTACATCATTGCGCTAAGGGGACAGAGCACAGAGCTTTTACATAAAAGCGTCTGTGTAAGTAACTGTATCAAGTAATACAGTTACCAAATGCAAAAAGACAGAGATGTAAGTTCAAACATTACAGAAATGCTGCCCGAAGGTGCCTTCCTCTCAGTCTACAAGCACCTCCAGTGTATCTCTTACCTTATATCCCTAACACACAACATACTTCTGAGAGGTGCCGCTTCACATTAGCACAGAAGCATCTGAGGCATTTCACTACAGAAACAAGAGATGATTAATGAAAAATTTGTTTTTTAAATGTCATTTACTTTGAAAGTCCCAACCCAAATCTTTTCCTGGGGATTTAGTTGCTCAGTTTGGGGCTGGTAACTTCTGATCCGTGCTTGCTCGGGTTTCAGAGCACCTACAGCAGTGTAGATGTGAGCTCTCCAGCATTTAGCCTCCCGCTTCCCCGAGAACATAACAGGAAGCAGCCTGGGTGCGACCCTGCTCGCTGAGGTCACTGCTATTGTTGCACTTCTGCACATTTTGGAAGTGTTTTAAAGTGATACGTCTCCATTAGAGCTTGGGTACAAAAACAGGAAATAATCAACCAACGCCTCTCAAGAGGAAGGGTATTAGCAAAACCTATTTAAATATCCATTTCTCTGAAAGTTTTATATACACACACACACACACAATTTTAAGGAACTGTTGAAGGCACGTGGACAAGATTTGGAAGGTCAAATTGCAAAAGAGACCAATGAGTGAACAGAAGGTTTGTGGGACGCGACTCCAGTGCCCAGCGCACAGCGCCAGGGCAACCCCACCCATGGGCTAGGTGGAAAAGGCGGTTTTAGAGCAACATCATTGCTCTCTTCCTCCCCTCAACGTTTCATATATGTTTTTTTATACACACGGATACACAGACACTTAGCTTGGGGTTTTAATTAACACTGAAAACAAAGAGAGGTGGGGGGGGGGGGTGGGCGGGGAAGGTTGTATTTACTGCAGTAACTACTTGGAGAAGCTGGAGAAGTAAATTTAAGTCAGATAAATAAAAATAGCTGGACTGGCTTCAGCACCAGCAGTACCCAGCTCTGGTGTTTCGCACCAGCCCAGGAGAGCTGGGCGAAGGGGGCCCGCGGGCGCCTCGGGGCAGCGCTGCGAGGGGCCGGGCCCTGCGCAGGCCCCGCTTGGGGACCAGCAACCAAACCCACACGCTCCTCAGATCCGCTGACCACAGCTCTCATCTCCACACCTAACCGTTTATTTGAGCAACGTTTCCATGGAAGACCAATAGAGCAACAAACAGTATGTTTGTAAGAGCGGT